CCTGGCTGTAAAAACAACATTCCCTACTGCATCGCAACAGTGAGTTTCTTTGTAGTAATGTCCCTGTCCTCTTGGATACTTGATGCGCCAACGTTTTCTTCACTTTGGACACTCCCCATGGTCACCGGAGGTGAGGTTGGGGCACATGGGAACCCAGGGGAGGGTCCCCTTCGGGAGTGCTATGACAGCAGCCCACTCAGCAGCCCAGGCTGTGCTCGCGAGCGCCTCTGCTGCCACCTACTGGCTGCTTGCATAATCGCCTTTTCTACCTTTGTACTGAGGTCCGCTGCGCTGCGGAGATACCACCTCTTTATAACTGGTAGTTTTACTATTAGGACCTCCTATCAAGCCAGGCGTGGTGGCACACCCCTCTAGTCCCAGCAGGTGGAGCTCTGAGTTCAAGATCAGCCTAGTCTACAGACTGAGTTACAGGACATCCAGGGCTACACGAAGAAACCCTGGCTCAAAGTGCCCTCCCACACCCCCAACACATACCCCACAAAACAAACAAAAAAAACCCCACCATCAGAAAACTAAAACAGCAAATATGACCTATATTGGCTGATATAAGCTCTATTTTGAAGGAAAATAAACTCACATACTGCTCAGTCAACCTTTAAACATGGACCTGCTAAGTCAAAGTCGACTGCATCTTCTAGACAGGTACCACTTAGCGAAGCGGCAATGGTGTCCTAAGGCAGAGGCCTGTCTGTGGCTGTGGTTTGTTCATTCTTAAATGTTTTCAGGGCCGACACATGCTGAAAGATGACTGGACAATGTGCCCGCACTGTGGCTTTCCTGCGCTGCACTCAGAATTCAAGATGTAAGTGTGCAACCTTCCCCAGCCACAGAAATGAATCCAGAAACAGGCCTTTTGTTCTGCCAGCCCCTCCTCTTGAGGGTTCCTCACGCCGTATTCCTAAAGACCCCCGAGGACCCAAATTTGTCATCTTGGGAGAACCTCTCCCTCAGAGGACCTTGGAAACCGAGTCCCTGTCACTCTTCCACAGATGGACATGTTAAGAGGTGTAGGCAGAAGGTGGCAGATTTTCCCACTGGCTTATCCCAAAGATAAAGCCGTGTTAACTATGTATTTAACTTACTCTGCACTTCTCTCCCCAAACAGCTTGCTAAACAGTGAAAGCACATGTCCCATGTGCTCAGAGAGACTAAACTCAAGTCAACTGAAAAAGATTTCAGACTGCACCCAGTACCTGCGGTCAGAGACGGAGCAGTGAGCAGCAGGCCCAGGTGAGGGCTGGGCACTCTCCTCCCAGGCCAGTGTCCACACAGCCTGATTATTCAGATTGGTTTTTGTGTAGTGTGATTTCTGTTGTTTCTGTGTAACATGTAATTGTCAAAGTTCAATGGTTTTGACCAACTTTTTCTTTATTTAAATGTTCAAATGAGGGTAATATGGTTTCCTAAATGACAAATATTTAGCCAAGCAGTATCATGAATTCTAACTAGAATGTATTTTATCAAACTATATGGCGGTCTTCTTAATCAGCCATTTAAAACTAGAGCCAGCTTTCTTTAAAGGACTATTCACTGTACAAAGTTTGGCTTCTACAGAGTTTGAAATCTTACATTTTTTAAGTCTCACTTTGGCCACACAAAGCTACGCACATACTCCTACCTCATTCCAGTGACAAGGATTTCTGTTCACGTGGCCACAGTGTACTCCAAAGGGATGCAGAGAAATGTAGAAATGTAGTTGGGAAGCCAAAACCCTGCTAAAAATCAAGAGCTTCTACTAGCCAGTGGGGAGGGGTACAGACATCGCCCCTGATGTAACCTCTTGCAGCTAAGCTAGTTAGAAAGGAATCCTAGGCTATCACACACAGGTGTGGGGCCAGCCCCAGCCTATTGTCTCTTCTGTCTGCTGTGCTGCCCCCAGCCTAACTAGCCTTTCTACCGGTCTTGAGCCGTGGGACTGTTGTCACAGGGCTGCAGCATCTTACATCCAGCAGGGTCCACAGGGTCCAGCCTCCCGCATCCTCACAAAACCCTCTTCTGCCTTTACTTCCGTGAGTGGGAGGCAGCAGGCCACCTGCATCCTGATGCAGCGCAGAACATCTTTCTGTGTACTTGCTGGCCATCTGTGCATTCTCAGAGTTCTCAGCCCAGTTTTAGAACTGGAAGAGTTGACTCTATAATATAACCAAATGCGAGTTTTATGTTGTATTATTTGCAAATATTTTTTCTGTGGGCTTTTTCGCTTTCCTGCTGTCTTTTCAAGGCACAAAAATACCAAACTTGGGTCATCAGGGTCCCTTTGGCCAATGAGCCATCTCACAGGTTTTGAGGCAAGGTTTTACTATAAATCAGTCTGGCCTTAAACTGGCAGTGATCCTCTTGCCTCTGCTCCCAAATCCTGGGATTACAGGCACCAGGCCTCACTCATTTTTTTTTTTTATTACAATACCCCCTACCCCCCAAAAAAAGGCCTCCAAACTAATTGTTTTTTCCTTAGTTTTCTGAATATTCAATTCTATCAATGAACTGTGTAACTGGTAGTAAGTTACTCCTCTATTCCACTTAGTAGGTTATATTGGTTTTTGAGTGCTAAAACCAACTTTTATTCAGGGGATAAACTCGCCTCATAATGACGTGGTCTCTAGCCATCCCCCACCTCATGGACTTACCCTCAGGTACATACACAGCACTCTAACCCAGCAGATTTCTCTTTCAAAAGACGATGTCCCCAGCTGCTGCCTGCTTCTGGTTGCTTTCCAAAACTTTTGGGCAGTTAGTTGCTTATTATATTTTATCCCAAGTTTAGACCTTTATCTGTGGGTAGATAAATGCATATCTCTGCCACTTCTAAAAGTGGAGCCTTGTTAATAAAGCTCCAGGTTCTCTCCAGATACTGCCTCATTCTATGTGACACACTACAGAAATGTAAACCATGGCACATCAGAGCTCCTTGAAGCCATGTCTTCAGTGAGCACACTGAGCACTGCTAACACTGCTGCTCCCCGCTTCCTTCACAGAAGGAACCTTTGTTCAATTTCAGGGACACATGCTCTCTACAGCCTGCCAAGCATCCCCACAGCAAGGTGGCTTCATCACCACGCCCAACTGCTTGGCAGTGATGTCTCAGCAGTTGGCACGCAGCTCTGGTCAGGAAGCTCTCGGAAATGAGCAGGAAATCCCAGCTTCGTTACCAGGCAGGCCGTTCCTGAGCCCCTTCTGAAGGCATCTGTTTGTCCTTTCTCAGACGGGGTTCCTGAGTAGAAGGCATCTCCCTGCAGGAAGCTGTGTCCACCCATGGTAGACTCAAAGGATGATCCTCCCTGGACACAGGAACATGACACAGGCCAGCACATCCAGCTTCTGCAGTGACATAACCTGCTGCTTACTGAACTTTGTATATTGCCTCTTTGAAGTCCTACACACTCTGTACTCTGTAACGTTTAATAGTATATCGATTGTAAATACCCAATTTTTTAGTAACTTTTATATTTAAGTATCTCCTCTGAAATAAAATTGTTGACTAGATACTTTGTTGACATTCTCCTGGATTTGGACACAGAGAAAGCGATGACAGAGGTGGCTTGGAAGCCTTGTAAAGTCTAGCCATCACAGATTTAGAACACTGCACAAGTCTGAAATAAGACGTGCATGAAGCAGTCTGTCCCTTGAGCTAAACATCAAAGACAAGGCCTCTTTTAAAAATGGGTAAAACTTCACTGGGTACAGTGACACACACCTTTAATCCCAGCACTTAGGAGGCAGAAGCAGGTAGGTCTTGTGAGTTCAAGGCCAGCCTGGCCTACAAAGAGTACAGGATAGCCAGGGCCCTGTTACACAGAGAAGCCCTGTCTCAACAAAGAGTAAACATAGTACACACTATGAGAGTCCTACGGTAAAGTTAAGGCGACCACTTGATTGACTGCCCTGAAAACACTGTTACTTTCCTGGAGCTGAAGATGCTTTCCTCACTTTGCACACACCACACTCACTTGCCAAGTCTATACTTACTCTGCCTCAGTGATCACTTTGTTGCCATGACCTATGGCAATGTCACCAAAGTCTGAACAGCACAGACATGGATTTCACCGAAGCAGCTGATTTGTCTGTATTAGCAGCAGCACCTAGGGGCCCAAGTGCCAGTGATGTCCACGGGCATCCAAGCCCCCACCTTCATGCCGCCCGTGCACCCGTCATCTTGTGGCTCACCAAAAGCCTTGGCTTCACTAAGTGGTACAACTTAATGAAAACTCACCAGTGCCAAGTTTCTGGCTACCTCCTCACACCACTGGAGGAAGAATCACGGGCCACCTGATATCTGGGAACACAAGCACACTGCATTCTGGGGTTTACAGGCCTTGGCTTTCACGTGTGAGCACACACATTCTAGAACTATAGGAAGACACTCATCCTATGTATAGTAAGTCTACTCATTTAGGAACTTTAAAGTCAACCAAAAATGCTATTGCAGTTCTGCCAAAACTTATCAAAAGGAACTAAGGAGAACTGTTTGTTTGTGAGAGACACCCAAATGCCATGGCTCGGGGCTCTCCATGGGGCTCAGAGCCCCTGGGCAGCGAGGGTGCCACAGAGCACTTCAGGAGTGCTAGGAGTGTCAATCCCGGTGCAGACATTCAAGTCCTCATCCAACTGCTAGGGCGCGCACTCCACCTTCCTTGCCTCTGCACCCTTCACCTCACGTTAGGGGCTTCACAGAGAAACCCAACACTCTTCCATTGTTATCCTATCCTGCATTAAACAGTGTGCCTGCAGTTTCTAAAATTTATTCACACATTCAGAATTTAAATTATAACTGTTCTAAATAAGTACACACTGCTGTTCTGAAAGCATGAACATTACCAGGCCTTTCCTGGATATCCAACTGAAGGAGGCATATCTTCCAAGCCCAAAAGGAAAAGAAACAGAACGTGCACTCAAAAACCATCTTATATGCTCTGGGTGAGGAAACCTTCATTGTAGCAGCCAAGTTTCAACACAGAAAAGAGGGGCAAGACTCTGGAGCCTCAGGCTTGCGGCAGTGTTTTATTTCCATAATGAACCGATCTCCATGAAACACATCTTTCACACGGGTTAATACACTTTCAATGTCTCCAGGACTTTGACTCCTCTCCCAACATGCCCAAGTCCTCAAAGGCATGGTCCTCTATATTCTTTTTGGCATTACCTCACAGAGGCAGCACAGTCCTCTGAGCACCTTCTGATTTAAAGAACTAAATACCTAAAGGCCAGGTTTCATCCACAGCCCCAGGGTCCTTCAACAAGCACAGTTGCAGTTGCAATCTGAAACCCTCTAGGGTTTATGGGCTCCATCACAGGACAGCATCTCCCAGCTAGAACAGGCCTGTGAATCTGACCCAGCCTGTGCTTTTAACCTGATGGCTGAGCCTGCAGGAGGACAGGAATGTTGAGCGGTCCCCTGTCTGCACACCCTGACTAGCCAAGAGGCCTCTCTCAGACTTCCTACAGCAGCAATGTGGTCAACACAAAGGGACGCTGGGAATTTGAGCTCTGACCCTTCACCTGCAAAACTGCTCTTCAGCGATAATAGGAAACACTGAATATTTTAATCCAATCAATAAGAAAAGTAATATAGCAACATAATATTTTCCTGTACAAGACGCCAATCTTATGAGTGCCCCATGCATTCCATGGACATTGGAGCCCTGAAGCATACTTTGCACGACACCTGCCAATAGACCAAGAATACTCAGCTCCAGATGGTGGCTGCTTGGTATTAAGGTTTATTTACAGAATTTCACCATAAAATAAAACTACCATGTTTTTTTAAAAAATTAGCATGGGTCCTCTAAAGGCCATTAGGATAAACTTAAACTACAAAAGATGCCTCGGTCCCACTGTGCCCAGACTTGCTATGGCTAACTAATCTGACTCCAAAGCCTGTGTACTTTCAAGTTTTGAGTCTACATAGTCACCTTGAATCCCAAGTTGGCAGGGACAGGGTGGGGCTGGCGCAGTCCTATCCACCTCTGTAAGAGGTGCGTGAGAGCTGGCTAGTTAGACCTTCTAGCTGTACCGTCCTTTATAATGGGAACACCAGGCCACCCCACTCTGCTATACATAACTGGTTACTCTGGCAAACGGTGAGACTTCTGGTCTCTAGACCAGCTGGAACAGTCGAGAGAGGAAGTTAAAAGCAGTTACTGGTACTTAACAATGGTTTCATTTCTTCCAATTTTTTCCTTTTCCTTTTTTGGAGTCCTTATCTTTTTCTGGTTTTGAAGGCTTTGAAGATCTTGTCTTTTTCTGCTAAAAGAGAGATGCACAAAAACAGTTAATATACTGATATGTAAATGACATAACAACAAAATCTTTACTTACAATTTAATTAGAAAAGCGGGGTCACAGTATCTACTGCTGCCTCTGAGAAGCAACACGGAAGCTACTCACAGCCCTGGAAGACACAGCATGGAGAAAATACACTCAGTCTAGCGCTAAGGTGCCCCTCTCATGAGGCAGGTTCCTGGACTCAGCACGTAGAAGCAGCAGCAAACGGTGACTTACAAACACCGCAGTGTCTACATGACAAACTTTTCTTTCTTTTAGTCTCTCACGGGCGATCTAAGCACACTCATTTTGTGAAGAGGGGAGAGGAGAGAGGGAACCAATTCAACTGCAAAAGGCCTCTATTCCTACAGACACACCCCACAGGAGGCGTAAGACATGCAGACATGTGAAAGGTGGAAGAAGCTGAGTCTGTCTGCCTTGGGCAGCTCTGAACAGTAGGCTGATTCCATGCCTCGTTGTATTGGTTACTAACAAAAAGCAAAATAACAAGTTTTCCTCTGAGAAATTTTTATAGGCACTCCAATAGGCTACAGCAAAACACAAGAAAGAGAAGTGAGTTTGTTTGAAGAGGTTGTCTTGTTTATGCTGTAAAAGTGCACCTGTGGTTTCAGAGTAAGTAGAACAACACCGTTCTGGGCCAGGTGAGGTGCCTCGGTGGGTAGAGCACTGGCTGCACAAGCAGAAGACCTGAACTCAGATCTTCACCAGCCACATGAAAGCAGGGCATGGCAAGCAGCACACCTCAGTGCTAGGAAGGGACACAGGCAGGTGTCCTGAGCCTGAAGGGCTCACTGGCTAGCTATCTAGCCAGAGCGGCCAGCTCCAGGTTCAGTGACAGAGCCTGTCAAACAGAGGGAGACACTTGGTCTCTAGGCTCCACATGTGCTCGGACGAACATCCACATCCACACTCACACACGTACTCTTTTAAGATTTTATTTATTTATTTTATGTATGAGTGTTCTATCTGCAGAGGGCCTCAGATTCCAGTAGAGATGATTGTGAGCCACCATGTGGTTGCTGGGATTTGAACTCAGGACCTCTGGAGGATCAAACAGTGCTCTTATCCACTGAGCCATCTCTCCAGCCCCAACATGTACTCTTGGGCAACACATGCCCACCACTGGGATGCCCTATTTTCTTGCTGTCTGGCTCTTCCAGTACTGTAAGAGGTTCACTTTAAAAAACTGAAACCTATCGCCATCAATTACAATGAGCAAACATAATTGTTCTCCAGCTTACCCTGGACCTGTAGAACAGGCCTTATTATTCCCAAGGCACAGTACACAGAGGAAAAGGTCACGCTTAGTACACTACCTTGATCATGGCATCAGTCTCTATGGCGTCCTGCTCTTTCTCCTCAGACTGCGTGTCGTCTTCCTGTAAGTCTTCACTGTATTCAGAATCCAGTGGTAGGCCTATGCTGGGTCTTGGTGTCTTTACCACCTGAAGTGAGTATGGGGTCAGGTGGGTCTCCTTATTGTAAGCTCTCGTGAAGGCTGCTTTCACCTAACATAAGAGCAAAGAAAGAGCTTACCCTGACTGCTGGCAATTCTTTAACATCAGTTAAGTCAAGGTTTTGAGAAGCCTGGGAAATCTCTTTAAACTACTGGCAAACTAGTTACAAACATTACAGAAATGGGAGTATATTCAGACACACACAAAGACATTCTATGTGTTACAGAAATCAAGCGTAAGCCTTGTGCTTACTAAGCAAACCCGCTACCACTGAGTTACGTCTCCATTTATTTTTATTTATTTATTTATTTGAGGATTTTGAGCCCACGGCTTTAAAAAAAAAAAAATTAAGAATCAATAGATGATCCCAGCAGTGGTAGATGGATCTGTGAGTTTGGGGCCAGCCTGGTCTAAAACAACACTCGAGTTCCAAGCCAGGCTACACAGAGAAACCCTGTCTTACAAAAACAAAACAACAAAAAAGCCTCAGTGGTTAGTCTGTGAATCAATAAGTCAGAAAGACCTCACTGTAAGATTCAAGTTGGTCTTGACTACAAACCATGGGAGCTGGCACACAGGGCAGCAGTACACGCCTGGAATCCCAGCAGCCTGAAGAGACTAAGGCAGGAGAACACAGGTCACATTGCCTGGGCTATGTACAGCATGGGCAACTTAACGAGACCCTGTATCAAAACGCTTAATAGAAAGAACGCTTACTAGAACACTGGATAGAAAGCTCAGCGGTAGAGTGGTGTCTGCCGGGGAGAAGGTGGTCTCCATCTCTAGCTCTGTCCCCGCATCTCTACTATGGTAACAGTGGTTGCTTCAGAGTTCTAAGTAACTCTAATAACCTAAATTTCAAGCTTCAAACACATCCACGTCCCAACAATGGATGCCTACTGTAACAGTAAGTGGGTGCCACGAAGCCAGGCCAAAATCTAGAGAGGACAAGGCACAGAGAATGTCTTCTAACCCTGTATTCATAGACGGGTGGAAGAGTGAGGCATTAGAGCATGTTCCTGTTACATCACTAGTGTTCTCATGCTCACAACGGGAAGACAGCGACAGTGTCATGGAGTAACTGTAACAAATACTGGGTCAGCGGGTAGACTTAAGAAAGATCGATGTGGTACATGCCTAAAACCCCAGAAGCTTGAAAATAAAGACGAGGAGTTCAAGGTCAGTCTACACAGCAAGTTAGAGGCCACTCTGGACTAAATGGGAAAAGGAATGAGTAAGGAGGAGAACAGAAAGGGGGAGGGAGTAAAAGGAGAGGAGAAAGGAAAAGAGAAAGGGAAGGGAAAGGGGAAAAAAGAAGGAAAGGGAGAGGGGAGGAAATAGGGTGGGGAGGGAAAGTAAAGGGAGAAATTATAAAGGCCTCACCCCCCATCGCCTCCTGTCTGACCTCAGGCTCATCTGCTGCCCATCAAAAGATTTGCATTTGTACATCACACTATCCTCTGGCTGTTTTACTCAACTTGAGGCCAAGATAAAACTACGAACTGGGCACTGTGGCAAAGCCTTTAATCCTAGCACTCAGGGAGGCAGAGGCAGGCAGATCACTGTGAGTTCGAGGCCAGAGAAACTCTGTCTCAAAAAACCACACACACACAAAAAGTATCCAGATAGAGAGATAATATACATGTAAACACACACACACACACAAACTGTAGCATGGAACCGTGTAATCTTCTCTGGAAAGCACAAGCCAAAAGGCAGCAAACATTTAGGAAGGAGAAACAAACTGTTGAAAGCAGGTAGAACACCCCTCAAGCACTGCTAAGACAGTGCATCTTACCTTGGGATCCAGCCTGGAAAAGGGACTGGCCTGGCCACCCCAGCTGCTAACTTCCATGATGTTCTCAAAGTCTTCTTTCATCAAGTAGTACGTGTCCATAAGTGTGACAACATGCTGAACTCCCTCTACCCCTTGTGAGGTCAAGGGTCGTACAAGTGCGTCTCTGATGTGTGACAGGTAATCCATGTTCACCGTCCTTTTGCTGGAGTAAGTTCTGAAACAGAAGGACACAAATCTTTTCTTTTAAACCATGTCAATGGCGCCCTATCTTCAACTCCCCACGTTAGATTATCACCACCAGTGAATCAGGCCCGGTTCAAGGCTGTTAACTTTTACACGTAATTATTTATAACATGTGAAGCTATTTCATGGTCCTTAGGAGCTTAACAGCTGGGTGGCTCAGTGGGTAAGGGCACCTGCCGTGCAAGCTTAACGACCTGAGCGGGATATCCATCCTGCAGTACGAGGAGAGCAGCACTCTGCCCTCTGACTGCCACAGCACTCTAGGAATGCAGACGTCCACACACTAACAGTTCTTCCACCAGCAGAATACTGATTTCAAAAGGAGTCACTGAAGAGTCAATGTACTGAAAGATCATGAAAGGTTTTTAGCCAGGTATGGTGGTGCATGCCTTTAATCCCAGTTCTCTGGAAGAAGAGGCAGGAAAACCTGTTAGTTCAAGACTAATGTGGTCTACATAGAGAGCTCCAGGCCACACAAGATGACAGTGAAAATGTCTCAAAACAACAAACAAAAAAGCTGAGTTTTAATTTTAATGAGCACTGTGACGTAGCCATTAGTCCGAACCTGAAAACTGGGTGTGCACTTGTATGCATCCGCCCCAAACTGCTGACCTAAACATTCAACGGGGCACCTAGCGCTCCTCCCACTGTGCTGAAAAGCCATTCTCGTCTCTGCTCTGTGACTAGAAAGCAAGCACGGTTCTACCTCCATCTTACTCTAACACCCCAAAAATGATGTCTTGTCCTCACCTTTACCACAGCTGAACTGATACATCATTCCCAAAATACTAAAGGCGTCAGGGATAGCAGTGAGATTCCCTTTGTTATGGGCCACTCCTGCATGAGTGAGCATGTAACACCTTTGGCCTCTGGCTGTAATAGACAAAACTGTACATAATGCCTCCCTTGGACTTCCTCATGCCTAGCCTCTGAACCTTCCTGTCTAAGGCAGGGTTTTCCCTAAATCCAAAAAAGTCCTACAGAGAATGTGCCAGAAGAGCTGGGAAATGGTCTGTGCCATCCAGAGGAAGCAAGATACAAGCCCTGGGATGTTGAGAACTACTAGAACCTCAAGAATTAACTTTCTGGTGGCACATCCCTCTAATCACAGTACTCCTGGGGCAGCAGCGGGCAAATCTCTTAAGTTCATGGCCAGCCTGGCCAGCCTGGCCAGCAAGTCCCAAGCCAGCCAGGACTATTCAGAGACCCTGCCTCAGAATGAATGAATGAATGAATGAATGAATGAATGAATGAATGAATGAATGACTTTTTCTTTCCTAAATATTGTCACTCCCTTAAAAATAACTGAGCAAATAATATTTGTAATGCCACACTCTAAATTTTCACAACTGCTTCTGGCTTCAAGCCTGACAATTTTATGTCCGGGTACTTTAAGCTTGAAGACCACAAGCAGGATGTGGAAGTAACACAGAACAAGCCCAACACAGCCTGGTGGCTCCTCCATCTCCCATGCCTCAGAGCAGCACCTTCATATCTCCATGATCGGACATGGCAGCATCCATTTTATAAGGACCCTTCACCTAGATAACCCCTCAGAAAGACAATAAATTTGTGGTGTTTTACGCCATTCTGTTATAGCAGCAGCAGAAAACGAAAGGTGGAATAAAAGACTGCTGCCAAGAGCTAGGAAGAGGGACTCTAGGGGAACTGGAATTTGACGGGACAGGAACTGCTTCAATAATTCCCAGTGACCAAGGTGGATATGGAACAAAGGGTAACATTCTGGGGCCCAGAAATGGAAACAGGATTCTTAATAACCTTCATGGTTATAAGTAGATCCTTCACATTTTAAAAATTGTTGGGATTGGTCTAATGCTTCTATTTTGATGCTAATTACTGGCCCTCAAGATCTGGCTATTGCCCAGATACCCCTATCCTTTATGTGTAAACCTGCCTAAGGCATTATTCCTAATTGGTTAACTAAAAGCTTAAAACCTGGACAGGACAGAATGGGGTAGGCATGACTAAGGTTCCTGGGCTTTGGGAACAGGAGAATCATGGGAGACAGACGGACAGGAAGAGATGGAAGGGGAAAAAACCATGTGGGCTGGGAGCACAGACTCCAATAATGGCATGGGAAGGCTCAGATGAAGAATACAAGCAAGTATTTATAAGATTATGGATGGAAGGTAGCTCAGGTAAGAATGGTTAAGGCAAATAGCATTGGATGGGGGCTGGGGGATAGATGGTGAGGTTATTGAGACAGCGTAAGTAAAATACCTGACCAGCCCAAGATAAATAAGGCAATTATAAACTTTAGAAGGTGTCTTTAAACACTTGCAAGTGGGTTCACTTTCATTATCCAAATGGTGGCCCCTGTTAATGCCAACCTATGTTCCCTACCTCAGATGACTAGGTCAGCCTTCTAGTAAAAGAGGCAAAAACTAACTCATTTCTTTATGAACATTTCATCTTTAATATTAAATATTCTGAAGCAGCAAAGTTATTCCAGTAAAAACAGACATACTGCCAGTAACAAGTAACAGATTTCCGACGTACACACTTTAAAATGTAGCAATCTCAAAGCACAAGACCACTTCCATCTGGCTATTTCTAAACCTTCATGCTGATAACAGAGGACAGAACTCAGGACAAACGGCAGGAACTTATCCAGGATCATTTAGCTAATGAGCAACAAAGTCAAAACTAAAACAACCATCCTTCAAGCACATGCTATCTTTTCGGGGTAAAGGTTAATGCACCTACTTACAAAATGACAGGAGGGCACTAATTCTGCTTACCTCAGACTCATGTGCAAGGCTAGGTCCTGAACAATCCGATCATGTTTGCCTGTAGAGGAGTGTTTGCCCAGCCAGCTCGGGAAGGTAGGAAACTGGGTCATATAGCCCCTCATCAATTCTCCAGGAAGAACACTGGCATAAATGGCCTGAGAGGGGAAAGAAAACAAGTCCAGAATTTAATTTGGTAGAGCTGCTTCTTTGGCAGCTTTTCACCCCATGGTGAGGTACAAGGATGGCTGAGACTTAACCAACTGCAGCATTTGAGGGCAGAGTCACTACAAAGTGATCTGGATTAAAGAGGGCCGTTACAATGGAGCTCTCCTACGTGAGTGTCAGACGCCTCGTGAGGAAGAGAGAGCAAAA